TTACTGCTTACTTTATTAATTTAAGTTAACATTAATAATAATAATCGTATAGCAAGTAGGTTCAAGGGAAATACCATTCCACAGTTTTGAAAAAATCGATTTTTCGCGCTTTTGTGAAATTTATTTACCATCGTATACGCTGTACTGCGTTTGGCGTATACGAGGTACTTCGCGCTGAGCGACGATATAGTTCAATACAGTCCAATTTTTAATTGTTTAATCTTAATTATAAAATATTTACAATGTGATTGTTCACGCTGATTAGGTATTTCATTGAATCTTACAAAGAAGTTGGAAACTGTGTACCTATGTACTTATTTAAAAACGTCATTTAGAGTCTGGTAATGTTTACGAAGATATTAACATACATATGCACCTAATACGGGAAGCCTTGTTTTTTAAAATATGTATTTATATATATATACTTATATATGAATGTATTTCATTTATTTTCAGCCTTAAAAGGATTTACTTTTCAAAAATGCAAATAAAAATTGATTTTCTTTGGTTTGTAAAATTTGTCTATACGTACTATATAAAATAATTTGTGATGACCTGAATTGTTAATCTAATAAAAAAATTGGTTATTTTTCCTTCCATTTGGTAACTTTTTCGTCTAATCTTGGTTAGAAAGTTCTTTGAGCCGCGGCAACACTGGCCACAATAACGTTGGTGAATGCCCACTTTGCGGTGATCTACATATGTATGTATGTATGTATGTATGTAGGCATGTAGTTTGCGGCGGTACCTACTCTTGATTTCGCGCTTGCTGCCAGTACCTCTGTGCTTATGAATTTAACTGGTTGCAAGCGCTTTCGCTCTTATCGCGCGCTCTTAAATTACCTCGGACTATGCAGTCATTCAACGAACTACTACCTAGTAGCTGCTCTTCTGATCCAAAAAAACCAATTCAATTCGAAAGGCATCTGTTTGTATTAATGGAATTCTTCGGGCGTTGTTATGCAAGAGAGGCGCGTAAATAGGTACAAGCACTTTGGCCGCGCACCCAACACACACACACACACAGGCACACACGCGCCTTAATCCCACAACACACAGATGCATGTCGCAGCCTATAAAATTTGCTCTTCATTAGCCGGTAAAGGCGCTCACCTTTCTGTGTATTTGCTCTTTATGCCTCTCTCCAACATACTAACACACATACATATAAACATACAAATGCGACGCAGTATTTCTGTTTCCGCTTTTTTCGTCGATTCTGTTTTTGTCGCTCATTTCGCATTCTTGTATTCGCTCGTTCCCACCCAGCAAACACAATTTCAAACGTTTGAGAAAAATGTGTTTCTCAATTTGATATAAAACCTTTTTCTCAAATGATTCTCGAATTGAAAAGGCGGTTTAAATTTTACATTTGAAATTCATTTGTGATTGATTTGAAGAAAGTGGGCAAGTGTCAAAAGATATATAAAAATGCGCAGTTAAATCAAAAATTTTAAGAATAAAATTAAGATCAATTGAAAAAAAAAACAATAAATAATGGATTTGATGTTTGCGCGGATTGAAGAAGCTGCAGTCCTTCAAGACGAATTTATTAGAAATTGCATTATATTAATTATTTCTTTTGTTATGTACATATACATATATATATGTACATCGTGAAGAAAAAATAATAATGAAATATACATTTCCTATAATAAATTTTGTTTCCACATTTGATAAATAACCTTTGAAATTGATTTGAGAGTTAACCATATTCTCAAATGGAGATCAAACTCTCCTTTTTATTGAGAAAGCTGTAATTTTCAAGTCAATATCAAGTCATTCTCAAACGTTTGACATTTGAGAAAGGCTTTGATTTCAAATCATTCTCAAATATATAGCAAACCTAATTGTTTGCTGGGCATTGCTTTTCGTTATGTTTTGTTCACAATGCCGCTATATTCATTTCGTGTCGCGCTCTCTTTTGTACCAGCACTGTGGAGAATATTAAGTTGAATACTCGTATCTTATCACTGTCGCACTTCGCATGCGCTGTTGCTCCTCTCCTCTTCCGTTTCATTTTCTCGCATATTTCCGCTCTGTTTTGGTATATAATCGCTTCTGTACAGCAACAAAACAAAGCAAGTACGCGGCGGCGGCGGCGTATCTTGAAAAGTTTTTGACCTTTGCCTG